AGCCAAACACGTTATTGTCTTTGAAAAAAACCTTTGTGAATTAGTTGAAAAATTGAAAGAATTTGTTTATCTTGATATTTATGGACATATTAATCGTGAAAAAATCGAACCTTATCGTACTATGGTTCGGACGCGTTTTCCCAATAGTCGACTTTACATCGATATATCAAGATTTCGTCTTTGGTTTTGATTTTGTCTCTCTGTATAGAATATTATTATATAGATATATATGTAAAATTTAGAATTCATAATAAGTTTATTATTTTTTTTGTTATTATTCAATAAATAATAAAAACTTTCATATATAGACTTAATTTTTTCATTCATTTTTTATTGAATATTTATTTTATTACATTTCTTAAAATCAATACCTGTATATTTATTTTGAATATAAAAATACAATTCAATTAGTTTTAGTTTTAAAACATGCCTTAATATAAAATATGATTCACCAAAACAAAACAAAAAACACTTGTACTTGAAATAGATATGTAAATGCATAAATTTGAAATGATGATAACATACATGTAAATGTGATTAATAAAAAATAGATACTCTGTTTTGGAATACAGATATCAAATCAAATATATTTAATTGAAAAACTATATATTTTAGTTACAAAATTTCATAAAACAATTCTCATAATAGTAAAGTTCATTCAATTCATGTTGATGTAATCTTAATAGATTTTTTTAAGAAGCAAAATAAAATTAACGTTAATGCATTTGAATTTTTTTTGGATTGTTGAATAAAGTGAAAGATGAACAGAGGATGAAGATACCGGTTGTGAACCGTATCGCTGAAAGCAAGATGGACGAAACTCACAATGAAAAGCACATCACCAAAAAGAAAGATGATCGAAATGAATGTCATCGAAATAGAGATCATCAATATGAAATTTATCGAAATAAAGATTGTCGAATGACTTTCGATCATCTATACTCGTGAGCTTTGTTTTACTGATATAACTCTAAGTGATTATTGCTTCGGTTTATTCTTCCAGAAAGGACCCCGCCGGATTTCATGACCCATCTCGGACCAGATTACCATATACATGGTTTTGTAGAGCTCGTTGAGGCGCATCGAATGGTATATCAGAAAACAAGTTTTCATCATACTTTGATGTTCTGAGGGCCCTG